TATATGTATGTGTGTGATAGATGACAGATAGATAGATAGATCGATAGATAGATAGATAGATAGATAGATAGATAGATAAATGAGATTATATATATGGATGAGCTTAGGTATTTGTGGAAAATAACCTCAGAATGTTTATCTTTGTGGAATTGCAATAGTGCAGAGTACTGAAAATAAGCTGAACAATGAAGTTAGTAAGAGCTAATTTTAAACTAATTAGAAAGGACTCTAGATCCCAGCTACAGCAATGCCAACTTGGTTATGGGAGAAAAGGTTGGGAAACTGCAAGAGTTCCCAGACTTTTGTCATTCTGGCCTGCTATTTTTGTTATACTATATATATGCTATAGAAATAGTAGGATAAGAAGGTAGATTATTAAATCTATTTTTAAACCAAAAATAGCAACTACTTAATTTTAAATATTTTACATTGATTTGGAATTTGTATATTGATATAAATTTAAGGTTGTTTTTGTTAGAACATACTATGCATATATTTCTACTGTTCTTCAAGTTATTGTACCTATAAAGGTCATCTAACAATTTAATGTAAATTTCTAGTCCCTTAAAAGTTATTATTACAAACTATTTAGGATAGTAAAGAAATGCATAGTTAGTCACTTATTACAATCAAACTTGTAATCTTGTTAGGTATGTTTTCAAAGTCAAACAGAGATATATTTTAGGTAGACATGTAGGAGGTCTTCAAACACTTCAGAGATCTACAGAAAATGACATTTAAGATATGTTAATAACATAGGTTCTTTTTTATGACAAGGCATGTCTACTCCTGGAAGCACCAATTTACTTCAGAAAAGACAATGAGCATAGATGAAACTTCATATGGAGTTTACTCTTTTTTTGTAGTAAAAATAAGCCACCAGGCAAGATAATAGCCTTGCCTCAACTGTTGACAATATGCTATCTAAACTGGACAAGCATAACACAAAAGAAAGTGAGTGTTGAACTTTGCCAAGACAAGGTAGAAACATCTTTCAGAATATCCTGCTTCACAGAAAAGTCTACCAGATATGTTAGGCCTAAAATCTGAAGATGAATGCTCCAACATTGCAGAGGAACTGCGGGTGACTGTCCAGGCAACCAGCTGTTTCTATCATGTCTCACAGTTTTGGAAGTTGCTTGCTTGCACTTCCTGCTTACTCGGGTAATATTATTTCCTTCTCAGGTCTATGATGGAGTTGAAGACTTTATAGTTATAGTTGGTTCTTGTTACAAGATTGAGAAAATAAATTCACTGAAGAAATGTAAAGTGTATGAGGTTGAGAAACATAAAAAGATAATTCTGGGTTGGTAACGCAAGTCGGAATAGAAAGTGAATTAGGTACAACACTTTGGACTTGCCAAAATAGGATAGATAATGGAGTATTTTCTCTGAACTTGTCAAATGTTTATGGACTAGATATTGTTAATATATTTATCTCCTGTATATATCATATATAGTTATTGTACTTATTGTGTATAGTTTTTCTTATATTAGTTATAACCTTGTTATATCTTTGACAAAAAGGGAAATGTGGTGATATTCTGTTTGTGTTCTAATAAAAAAGAAAAAAGTAACAACAAAGAAAAAAGCTTGCCTGGAGATCAGAATGCAGAGTTAACCACTAGTTAACCGTAGAGGTCAGGCTGTGGTGGTATACACTTTAATACCAGCACTTGGAAGGAGGAAAGAGGAAGTGATGACTGGGCAGAGAGAGAGGAAGTGATAAGGCTGGGCAGAGATGGGAGCCTGGCCCTTTCTGACTGAGAAGTATTGAGGTTAGAGGTGGTTGTGGCTTGCTCTTTTGTGTCTCTGATCTTTCAGCATTTACTCTGATATCCGAATCTGGGTTCTTATTATTAAGACCAATTATAACGATTTGAAGGCACACTTATAGAGTACAGAGTTTGTGCCAATACAGTGAAGAAGACCTCTCAGGAGAAGCAAAACAATAGAGAACATCTGCTTAAAGACAGCAAAGTTTCCAAGATTAAGAACCAAGAAAACAATTAAGAATGACTAGAAGAAGATAGCAACACATCTGTCTGTACAGGAGACCAAAAGGATGCTGCAGGACAATCTTGTTGCCAGGACACTAGCCACATAATAGGGCCCAGTCTCACTCTTCCTAGCAGGTGCATTCTAAAGACCAGGATACTCCATCTCACAGCCTCCAGTGGATCTCAAAAGTAAGGATGGAAGGAAAGTCACTTTGAAGCTCCATCAATTCCCCCTGGCTATCAAATACAATAAGAGCCACTAAAAAATATTTCTAATATTACTTCCGTATTTTCAGTCAGCCTAAGTACTGATTTATATATTCCTTTCAATTAATTCTCCAAGTAGAGGGTAATGACCAAAAGGAAAGGATAAGTCAAAATTATAAAATTCTTATCCACTTCATCCTCCCAAGAAGTGGCTTTAGTCTTGGTAAGGATTTTGAATGAAAATAGCATCAAGTCTCCAAAGCTCTAAGTCTTGCTGATTCCAATGCAACAGTGAAGGATATGAAACCCTCAGCCTCCTACAAGCTCATAAGCATGAGGCATACTGGGTTCCTTTTGAGTCAGTTGCAGGTTGGTGTCATAGGTGGATGACAGGGACAGAGGGCAGGGCTTGTCACTGTTTACTGCAGCCAGCTCATTGTAACAGTTCATGAACAGGATCAAGAATCACGTTCACAAAACAATCACCTTTTCTGCTTATTTGTTCCTGAGAACCTAGAACTTATTTAATCACTGCACCAATCAATTTAATTCTTTTTTAAAACTTGGGAATAATTTAGTTTAAGGGCACAGTTAAAACAAAGCTTTATGAAGATGATCAAGTTTAGCTTACAATGCACACGTAAAGGAATCATGCCAGTTCTTTAAAAAAGCCACAAAATGAAGATTGGGAGGCAGCTCGTTGTTAAAACCCTTGGCTAGCATGCACAGGCCCCGGGTTTGCTCCTCAGCAATGAAGATGGCAATGATGATGATGATTATGATGATGATGATGCTACCCTGTGATGTTCAAGCTTCCATGTTAAAAATTAGGGGCTTGATTGATTCTAGGCTTTCATGCTGTAGGAACTCAAATAGTGGAGCATGGTCAGTTGTTAAATGCATGATGGGACAGGTGTCTGAGTCCTGACCTTAAGACGATACTGTTCCTCAACAGAGCAACTTCTGGGCTGGGTTGCCTTGACTTGGTCTGATGATATTTGACAAAGAGCCTCTGGTATTTGAACAATGTTTCTCATTGGGAGTATAGCTAAGAAATCACCATTTTGTATTGCATTTCAGTTCTGCACAATGCACTTCTTAGTCACAATTATTCAAGGAGGGCTCACTCAGTAGGCAAGCAGTTTCTGGTTGCACGAGCAAGCTGGTGAGAAATTACCGGTGTGAGTTCCCTAGGTATTATATGCTAAGACACCTGGAGCGAGTTTTCTGATTGCTTTTAAAAACAAGCAGTTTAAATACAAAGTTTTACATATGAAAGTAAAGACGGGTGCCATTATGGCCATAGCAAGAGTGGCTGATACCTTCCCTCAATCTTATTTTTATTTTTATTATTTTATGCGTATGGTTGTTTTGCCTGCAAAGATGTGTACGGGACACATCTGTGAAGTACCTGGAGATGCCAGAAGACATAAGATGCCTTCTCCCTGGATCTGGAATTGCATATGGATGTGAACCAATATGTGGGTGCTGGAAATCAAAGCCTGGTCTTCTTCAAGAGCAAGAAATGGTCTTAACTGCTTAGCTATTGTTTCAGCTTCCATTTATTTTTTTTTGAAACTTTGTTTCATGTATCCCAGGATGGTTCTGAACCCAAGGATGACCTTGAACTTCTTTTTATTTCTTTTTTTCAAAATATATTTTTACTTATTTTTTGAGAACTTCAGGTGAGTATACAATGTGGTTTGGGCAAATCCATTCCTAAAACCTCTTAATAGGTATTAAAATTGTCACCCTCAAATTTCTTTTTATTCCTCAATTTGATTACCCAGAATTTGTTCTTCAAAGATACTCTATCCAAACTATTTAACATACATCTTATTGAACAGGATATCATCAGGGAGACAAAATGCAAAGAATATGGCGCCCTTCACAAACACCACTTCTTAAAAGTCTGCTTTATCTGAATATCATGCCCATGCATGAAGAGGTGATGAGGAAGGAGGCGGGGTTACAGGTGAAACAATGAAATTTGTATGACAGATGAGGGTAGATGGCACCATCTACAAGGCCCAGGTGGAGTGGGTAATGCAATTGCCACTCCTAGCTTTAAGATGAGTACAATGTTGTTGGTTTAAAGTTAAAGCTGTACCCATGAAATCCATCCCATAACAGACCTATTCACGACACTGCAGGCTCATTAATTAAATGCTTTGTACTGTAGGCCCATTCATTCATGAAGTTTCTCTACACTGCAAGCTCATTCATGATGCGCATTGTACTGCTGACCCTTGGGACTCTGTAGGATCATTCCCCTCGATCCTGCATTCTCACTGTCTACAGTACTTGTTCTTGCTCCTAAAAACTGGAGTCTAAGAAAGTACATTTTGATTCCCAGACTGACACTGAACAGATTCTCATGTTTCTTTTGTAGCAAAATTAATAACTTATTCAAGATAAGAAATGTAAAAACTGAAAACATTAAACATAGCCTATTTATGTTGTGCCATCGGTGGCTGCAAGCTCATGGATGAGCAATGCGTGTTTGTCTACTGGATTGCGGTCAGCAAGTCTAGAATTAGGGGTTTTTTTACGAAGTCTGCTACAGAGAACATCAGGAAGGAAGAGGAGGTGTACAGAAAACATTTGTGATGAGACAGTACACTGGAGAGGAAGACACAGCGGGCGTTTGCGACTTGCTGCCGAGAGACTAGTGCTCTTTACCGCAATGAGGCCTCATTCAGGGTAGAATGTGAGGACACATTAACAGCCCTGCTAACACATTTGCTGCCGTCGCACACTCTATGGAAACCGTGACGAGAATGACACTCTTACCATCTGTTTTCTTTGAATCATTTCCGGTGCTGGAGTGATCCTTCTTGTCGGCCTTAATTTTCCCGTCTTTCAAGTCACCTGCAAACAATAAGCGTGACAAAGTGAGTGTGTGCAGCTGAGGAGGTAGAAAAGCTTCCAACCTGTCAGGGTGAGACAGCACAGAGGCGTGAGGGAGCACATACCCTGGCATCAGTATCATCTGTGGCCTTGTGATAGGTTCTGAAAATCGGGTGACAGTCAGAAACGAAAACTAGAATATCCGCTCCAACAAGGTTGTACTTACGTCAAAGCTATTTTTCTGAGAAAGACAACTCAGTTCTGTTGTTCGGCTGTGAAGTAGGGGAAAATCTGGAATTCATGTAAGCTATACTAGTTAATAGATAGCTATCTATGTTAACTAATAGTTATGTTTTAGTTTCTTGTCTGCAGAATGGGAATAATAATGTCTACTGTGCCTACAGGATGGTGGGTAGATGCACTCAAGCCATTTAAGTGCTAAATGTAACACATGTGTACTGCTCCAAGGCAGTTGTCCCTATCCTAAGATAGAGCTGCCTGTGTTATTTGAATTAATGGGCTTGCCGGGCGGTGGTGGCGCACGCCTTTAATCCCAGCACTCGGGAGGCAGAGGTAAGCGGATCTCTGTGAGTTCGAGGCCAGCCTGGTCTACAAGAGCTAGTTCCAGGACCGGAACCAAAAAAGCTACGGAGAAACCCTGTCTCGAAAATTAAAAAAAAAAAAAAAAATTAATGGGCTTGTCAAACTATCATTTTTCAAAGTTAAAAATACTATTCTCACAAAGGTGAGCAAACATATGTAAAGAATGTACATAACTCAATGATGAAAGAGAGAGAACAAAGTGATCCTAAGGACAACCGAGGAAGTGGGCATCTACAGCTGCCGTAGAAGTCTGTGAAAACAAGGCTGGGCTAGAATAGACAAAGTGTTGATAACCAAAGGAAAATGCACATGACCTTCAGGCAATCATCTGAACAAGTCAGACTCTCTTCTCTACCAAATAACTTTACCATTGTGTGAATCAAGTACCAAAACGCAAATTTAAACATACCTGTATTCGCCAAAACTACGGGTCAGCAAGCTATGGTCCAATCTGGTAGGCCACCCATTACAGTCAACGACATGTTACTGATGCTCGGCAGGTGACTTACCCATATCTACCTATTGTCTGTCGTGGTTTCATTTTGCAACAACATAGTTGAATGTGTGTGGCCGAGACAGACAGCTTACGAATATTGCCCATGTGGCCTGCTACGGACCAAGGAGTTACCCCTTGTTGAGAATAGCCACCAAAGGAGATCTGCTTTATAAATGGAGTAACATTGATGAGAACGGAGGGGTGCCTTGTTCCAGCCTCATTCCCAAGTCTTTGATACTTTTGTTACTAGTTTTACTAATGGCACCTTTTTTTCTCACCCTCATACAGCCAGGAATATCTTTACTCAAATTCTACATAATCACAGCATCGATATCGATAAGATCCCAGCAGTAAGGTTTGCAGCGAGCTGAGGTGGCAGGATAAGTACGAGTAAAGAATTTCATTCTTTTGCAGTAGGTGCTGCAGTGTGTCAAGTGCTTTGCACATAATCACTGCATTGGCATCTTACAACAACCCCAGTGTGAAGGATCCACAGTGGAGAACGCATCACAGACTCCTTCGGCACGTCAGTGAGCTACCAGCTCACCTAGTGTTGGAGGATGCTTTCCACATGGAGACATCCCTAGGCAGCATTGTAGCCAGAAGAGCAAAAGCTGCCCCAGGGGACCACCTCTAGCACATGTTTCAACCATAACTCTGGCCTCACTGTCTACCCTAGCCTTACATCTGCATCATCCACCTGACAGTGACTATCCGTCTGTCTGAAGCTACCTGTCAGAAAATGGTTTTGAATAAGGACCAATGATGCTCCGATAAAGTGACTGTGCTTGAGCTGATTTACAGGGAGTTGGCCCCAGGCAAGTATCAACACTTCCAGGGAAGAAATAACAGGATGCATGAATGGGTCCAGTTCCAGAGGCCCAGCTCTTCCCCACTGTGTCTGCAGCCTTCCTGTGTGCTCACACTTTAGATTTCAGGCTCTCCAGTGCTGTTTGCATCTTAAAGGTCTTTTCCTTTGCTAGGAAGAAATGGTAACAGTAGGATAACTTGAGGCTATTTTTGGCTGTGATATATTCTATAGAATATGTAGAATCCTTTAACAACTACACCAAGGGCTGGAAACTAGGCCTCATGACTCCACTGCCTGGCTTTGTGTGATGCACACAGTAAGACTAACTTTTATACCTATAGCTGATTAGAAATGAGCATATGACATGAATATTAGGTTGTATTCAAATTCCATTGTCCACAAAAAATCCTACTTGGCTACAACATCACTTAGGTGTTCAAGAACTGTCCTTAGCTGAGGATGATGTTGAGTAGCTGTGACACAAAGTACACGGACTGTGAGGTCAAAGGGATTTAGCATCTGGCCCATTACAGAAAGCATGTACCATCCCCTGTCTTCTGCACAGTGTCAGGGTTTGACCTTCCTCTGATCCCCACCTCTTCCTAACAGTGCTGGGCTTGGCAGACAGTAAGCAAGAGTTGGCTATAGAACAGAGAATGGGGATTCCCAAAACCCAAGGATTTCTATTTGATGAGTGCTTAAGTCTTTTAATGTCAGAGTTTTAATTTTCCCATCTGTAACATGGAACTAAATCTACGTTAGAATCTATATGCATACCTGTGTGAATGTGTATGTATATGCATGTACATGGATGCACATGTGTGCACACACACCTGTGGAGGCCAGAACTTAGCCTGTGTATCCTTCATGCACCATCAACCTTGTGTTTTGAGGCAGAGTCTCTCATTGGCTTGTCTACCCTGATTATTACTGAACACTCACGAGAGGCTGGAGCTCTGAACAGGTTTTATATGTGCTTTACACAGAAGGGGAAGGTTATATATTTTAACTAAGATCTCCAAGAAAAGAGGAGCAACAAGACTGTGACTTGAACACAGATCTGTTTGCAAAGGTGCCTTGTTATCCGGTCAGAGCCTGGCATTTGCAAGCTTCAGGAACAGATTTCCCTGCCCATCTGTAACAGTGGAGCTGGTTCCCTGTCAGGACATACACCTTAATCTCTCCATCTCTCCAGCTGAAAGCCTTTCCCCAACCTGACTCAGACTAAAACACTGAAAATCAGAAACCATCCCCTTCTGAAGACACCCCAGACTCTTTACTCTTCTCTCTACCTCAGCTACCCACTGCAACCTCTTCCTTTGTGTAGGACTCTTGAGAAGTTTATCTGCTACTCTACCATCCCTCACCTCTGCATCACGTACACATTCCTTTAGGATTATATGTGAGGGTGTGAGGGTGTTTATTTCCCCACAACATCACAGGTTTCCTCTACCCTTTCCATTCCTACACCCCTCAGACTAACATAGAGTTTAACAGAAAGTTGTCAATAAATGTTTATTGTATTAAATACAAGAACCCATCAATTGTCTGAAAGTGTCGGTGGCTCATTGCCCTCAGTTCGCCTGGACCATTTGGATTTTAGAATTGAAAATCTGTAGGGAAGATTTTCAACTACAGCCAAACCAGGCTGACTGGTCACCTACTGTGTGTGCTTTAGCCATTTGAAGGTCCAGACACACACTTTGGGAACAGGTCTCCTGCAGACTGGAGCCTGGCCTGGTTAAAGGGATGGGGTATTTATTTGGAAGGTTGACTTTTCTCTACTCATTTTGGAAGTTATCAATCCAGGACAGGCTTGTTCTTAGGAATTTGCATCCCTTGTGAGAATCTCCAGGGCATCAGGAAAGGCCAGAGAGGTGGAGCTAAGCTGGTGGCCATAGGATAGGGTCCTGATTGTATCCATGGAGGAACATGGAGCCATGGGAGCTGCCAGCAAAGGGAGGGTGTCACCAGATTCTGCTTGTCACATCATTGTCACCCCCAAAGAGCCTTTCCCAGGCAGTCCCTTCTCACCATTCTGCTGTTTTTCTCCTGCCTTGTCGCCTTTGGGGTTCTTCGCCTTGTTTGTACGGGCTCCACTGACTTGACCTTTCATTTCTCCTGATGTCTTCTTCTCAGCTTTGCCTTGTTCAGTTTGGCTTTGGGCTTCCATTTCCTTTTGCTTTTCCTCAGCAGCCAGGCGATCCTTCTCTTCAGCTTCCTTCTTAGCTTTCTCTTCTGCATCCACAGCAATGAGGAAAGAGAAGGAGAGGCCTACCATTAGGACAATGACCTTTTTGGAAACATAATCAACAACAATGTTCATGGGAAACTAGTACAGTAAAAAGACCTAAGTGGTCTATTGAGAGTGTTGGATATATTCTTGATTAACTCAAGTCAGACTAGCATGTGTATTTAGCATATCAATAAGACAGATCACATCTGAAAGCAGTGAGTTGGAAGGGGGCCGGGAGAACATAACAATGGCAACGCAACCGTGATGGCAAGCTGTTCTTACTGCTGATAACCTCTAGCGAATGTGCCCTCATACAAGATACAATGCTCAGCAGTCTTCAAAGGTTGTTTCTGATCATCCTGAAAGTTAGTTTGTAACCCTATTTTATGGGTATGAAAATGAAGACTAAGAGACATGATCACACTTCCTCCAACCACAGTAAGACACATATCTCTCTCTCTCTCTCTCTCTCTCTCTCTCTCTCTCTCTCTCACACACACACACACACACACACACACGCACACACACACGTATATATATGGTATTTTTATATGCGTGTATATAAATGTACACGGTATTTTATATGTATATATATGGTATTATATATATGGTATTTTACATTATATATGTATTTATACACTATGTATATACACATATGTGGTATTTTATGAGATTTGCTTAGAATATAGAACCTAAACATTCACAACTCAGTATGGAACAAAAATTCAGGGGAAATAATCATCATTAGAAGACTACAAAATCAAGCCAGAGTTTGTGAATTTAAAACTAGGAAGAGGTAGGCTAAACCTCATAAAACTAAAAGCAAGTCCCCAATCCCAAGGTATTCAACTGTCCTCAGTATGAGGGGGAGCCTTCAGTTTGGTCAGGAATCTGCTCTGGGTCGTCCCTTTGACTGATTATCCATATTATTTCTAACACAATTGACTGACTATGTGCTTAATGAAAATACAGTGTAAGTGCATACTTATATCAAATATTTATGAAAAGATTGACTCATTCATGCAGCTGGTACTTGCTGAGCAGCTATATTGCCAAGAACAATTTTAAAAACTGGGGATATGACATCAAGCATGACAGAACCACGGAGAACCTTATAATTGAGTAAACAAATGGCTAAGTTTGAATGTTGAAGGCTTATTGGAAAAACTGGATACAGAGAGACAGGACAGGATGGAACACAGTCAGCACAGGGCAACAGGGCAAGAGGTGGCTTTAAACAGAGGCGTGAAGAAGCTTTTCTTGAGAAGATAGAATTTGACCAAGTGATGAGATGCCAACTAGAAAATCATCTGTAGAAACTAAACAACATGGATGCCATACGAGGAACATGCTCCTTGTGTTCATCCATGTTGAACTGTTCCCTGAAGGAGATTTGGCAAGGAGTTAGTCATAGATAAAGTGCTCAATTGACCTAGGAAAGGTACAGATCAGATCATGGAGGCTGTAGGGCCTAGCAGGTCTGGACTCTAGAGAACAGCACATAAAAAAGGCCCCTAAAACAGCCAAACCCCTTGTAAGTTTTAGGGGTTGGCCCACAGAGCTCACTCTAAAGATACTCCTGACATTATCAACCCCTTCTAGGAAAAGCATTATTGCATTTTTTCTACAGATGAGTGAAAAACTCCTCACCTCATTACTAGGGGCCTCTGTCTTCCCCTTGGTCTAGTGTTAGTCTTTGAACGGTTTTCATTCAGTATGATTGCTTTAATCCAGTGAGCCCCAGAGAGACGGTGTGTCTTATGTTTTCCTTTGTGTTAGCTGCTAAAGCACTCCAAGTCCCGTTCTGACCCAGTTTGGTGGGTTCACACAGCTCTATGACATGCATTTTTGTGCCTGTTCATGATGCCTAGCTTTATTCTTACTTTCTAGACCTTTCTACTTGTTTATTCCAGGGGTCTTCTTTAACACGGCATGACATTTTTATTCATCATTTCATTGATCCAGCAATCCATCCATGTGATAACTCACCCATTCTCTCATCCAAATCCAAGACCTGGCCTCATCTCAAGCAAATATAATCAGATTCTACAAGGAGAGGGATTAGGATAGGATATCTCAAATGTTTCCTGGGAAATTTTGGCACATAGAAAGTATTGAGACGCTCCAATGTCAAGTCTATTAGCCTTTCAGTGCATCATAATATTCTTCCCCTCAACAAGATGCATTTAAAAATGACAGTGAAAGCGTATAAAATATTTCTTTACAAATAACAATCATATCCATACCTTGCACTGTATGACTTCTGACTTCCACAAAAACGTAAAAAAAAAAAAAGGTAGAAGAACACCCTTAAATGTAGACATGCCAAGCACAGGGTTGTGGGGAGGACATTCATTCAGGCTTCCTTATATCCCTAGGCATTTTGAGGATAGGGCAAATATCACACTCATTGCTGTTTGGCATAATACATAGCATGCATTATGTGCTGCTGAATGTTTTGGTAAAGTCATGAGATGCTGCTCATGCACACGATTTACAGGAACTATCAGGGTAATCTAGCACCTTAGACTGATACAACACCCAAGTATACAGACTCTCTGGTCCAATTCTGAAAGTAATGCTGTGCAAACATTACCTTCCTTAACAATCAAGGTAAGTAAGAAGATGACTATTTTTTCCTGTTATACTCATAGATCAGTGAAACTTTCTCCTGAGCATTATGGAATAAATACAGAATCCACAGTCAGACAATGTACAGAGAGTGAAAGACCTTGGAACACTCAACCCTCAAATGGGATGTCTCCATCAATCCCTCCACTCAGGGCTCAGGGAAACTAGCAGAAGAAGAGTCAGAAGAGGACCGAGGACACCAAGGAAACAAAGCCCCCTAAATCGATATGAGCAATGCACATATGAATTCACAGAGACTAAGGTTGCATGCACAGGGCTTGCAAAGGTCTGCCCCAGGTTCTCTGTGTATGTATTATGGCTTCCAGTTTAGTGTTTTATGGGAATCCTGAACGCAAGAACAAGTGAGTCTCTGATGCTGGTTCTTTTGTTTGTCTTGTCCAACTCAACGTGATAGCTTTTGTTTTATCATATTTTATTATATTTTTAAAAAGATGACTGTATTTATTAGACAGAGGAAAACAGAACCAAGGAGAGGCAGCCATTTATATTTAGAATGTACTATCAGAGAAGATTAGCTATGGCCACCTTCAGAGACTCATTACTGCGTTACTGAGTGCATGGCAAACTTCCAACACTCAAAAGATTTCCAAGTTGAAAAGCATTTAAATAAAGCTGGAAGCTGTTAAATTGCACTTTACTATGGAAGATCATACAATATTATCTTAGAAGAAAAACTCATTTGACAACTGAGTCAGACCAATTTTTCATGGGAGATGTAGAATAACAACTGAGAAGAAGAGGAGGGAACATTCCTGATGCAAACCCGTATTTGCTCAGTGTAGCTGACATGGAAAAGTTATTTTAAGTTAACAAATGATAGCTCTATTTAAAACACGATCAAATCAGATATGAGCCTATCCCACAGTATGAATCCTTTCTGTGCACAAGCGAGACCAGGTCAGTGAGACTCTGCCAGTCTGTACAGACTGCATGTTCCAGTAATGGCATGGATATAAGGAAGTCATTTATCAGGTCTTAGATTTAGATTCCTTGGTATCCCAAGGCTTCCTGATGTGTAGGCTATAATCTTTATGATCTGTTTTCTTTTGCTCCTCTTTCATCCTATCTTGGGTTGATGAGATATGAAAATAACCAACAGAAAGCAGCTCAAGAGTTCTGGTGTGACAGAGTCCTTGGGATCTGTAAATCATGCTCTTCCCACAAGCTTTGGGGCTGCTCACACTGAATGCCCATACAGTCTTGAAAATACACTTGCGTCTTTATTCAATGTCCTCTGTGAGGAATGACCTTATAGATCTACTCTGAGCTGCTGACTTAAACAGTAAAGACAGAGAGATGGGTGGGGGGACAGGATGGGAATAGGAACATGAGACAAGAGATAGGAATCTAACTGGTTGACATAAGCATATATACATAAAATCTCTCAATTATGCTCCATACAGAAACATGGAGGGCACTGAGGGCACCTAAGAGCTCAGAAGCTGTCCTTTTAACAGCTTCCTATGTACACTAGCTGATAGAAAATGTCAGTCAATAGCAAAAATCCAAAACAGAGAAAAATGTGTCAATGGTATATGATAAATTGCAAACCTTCTTGCTAAAATAGAAATAAATGTTAAAGATAAAAACTGTGCAATCATTTAGAAATAATGTGCTGGGCTGTAAAGTTGACTCAGTGGCTCAGTGGCTCAGTGGTTCACTGGCTCACTGGCTCTGTGGCTCCCAGAGCACCACATGTTAGCCTACCAACACCTCAAACTCCAGTTTGAGGGAACTGATTCTCTTTTATGATCTTTGAGGGCATCAGGCACACACACTCAGTACAAATATATATACACAGGCAAAACACTCAACAAAAGCTGAGTGCTGATAAGCAAGCAAAAATCAATGTCTCAGCAAGTGTGGAGAATCACACGTGACACATTATCTCATTTACTGAGACTCACTGTCCAATAAAGAAATGATGTTTTTGAGAGAGTAAATGTAGGTAGTATAACTAGAGACTCAGCAAGGCAAATGGCACATGACAGATTAGGGCTGGGTAGAAACAGCAGGACACTTTGACAACTAAAATATTATCCTTAAGATATAAAAATTGTTATGACTCAACAATAAGAATGTGGATACCCTAATGGGAAATGGCAGTAGAGAGAAATGGGCAGTTTCACTGTGATTGCATCTGAAGGAGAAAATTTGATTTTTTTTTTTTAAAAAAAAAAGGCCAGGAAGAAATTTAGCATAAAAAAAATTTAAAGTTCTTGTCTCTGTTGTCAGAAGAATCCCTTAGATTCTTTTGAACTTTCATGTTGATAACTTTATTACATGCATCAATGACTTGGAACCCTAACACTTAGTAATGGAGGAATATCTCAATGATTGTATCCCAGACATTGCATCAGACTACTCAGCATCAGTAAAAAAATAAATGTCCAAGGTATGAAAAAATAGAATGTAAGTGTCATTGTATTATAAAACTGATTTCTATCTGTATACACAGCTGAGCAAAACTAGATTGGTTCAAAGCACCGGCCAGAGTTACTGACATCTAGATAAGGTAAAAAGAATTTATTCTCTTCTTCACGTATATTTAAATAGTACAGCATTTATGAACTACACACATTATTCCATTAGCAGGAAATTAACATGCAAAAAGTATTAAATACTGGGTGGGAATTAATAAATATAGATTATAAATATTAATTATTATACCCTTAAATTTAAGGTAGAAATGATGTTTAACCCAGAAAACTACACAAAGTGTTGGTTACATTTTTCCTAATTAGCATAGATTCTACACAACTTTGTAATTCAGCCTGAATAACATAACCTAAACTTTATCTTATTTTCTAACAATATGTGTTCAAATGTCCATAGAAGGCAACTTTTCTTAAAATTAGAGTCCTTTGAGGTGAAAAAAAAAAAAAACAGCCTGGGATTATTTACTCAAACTGACCATTACCAACGTAACTGCAAACCAGATTTCTCCTTCACATCAGCCGGTCGGTGAACACGCAACTCTGAGACAGAAAGTGTGAGCTGTGTTGAGTTGACACTGTCACTGTCACAACCAGAGTTTTAACACTGCGACACACGGTCAGGCTTCCTCTCCACTGTGTTTAAACAGCAGCTCCTTCCTGCCAAGCACCACGTGGGCAAGTTCTGTTCCCAATGCTTTCTGTATGTTCTTCAGTATAGTTCAGTTGGTGATAACTCTGAAATGTACGGGACCATGTCCAGAATGGTGTCTCAAGGAACGTCCCAGAATAAAACTGTGCAAGTCGGGATTCAAGTCTTCATTTCCCTGATAGCTAAATATGTCCTCCATAACCAAACTGCATATATATATATATATATATATATATATATATATATATATATATATATCTCCTAGGGGCTGAGCCTTGTTCCTTTTGCTTTGGTGTGTGCTGCGTGAAGGTTTACAACTAGTAACTACCCACCTAGAGGAGCGTGGCCTTATAGACTATTTACCACGATGCAGAAGCGCGTCTGGTTCTTCTCTGCGCCCCTGGGCCCGGCTTCTTGGGTTCGGTTTTGTTCTGGATCGCATCTTCAGGCATCGTTCATGCAGAAAATCCTGATCTGTAAGTTTTACTCCTTAATAGATGCCTGTCTATTTCTTAGTTCTGAGCTAGTGTGGGATTCCTTTTTTTTTTTAATTTATTTATTTATTAAAGATTTCTGTCTCTTCCCCACCACCGCCTCCCATTTCCCTCCCCCTCCCCCAACCAAGTCCCGCCCCTCCTCAGCCCAAAGAGCAATCAGGGTTCCCTGCCCTGTGGGAAGTCCAAGGAACCCCCACCTCCATCCAGGTCTAGTAAGTTGAGCATCCAAACTGCCTAGGCTCTGTGGGATTCCTTTTTTAAGCGTCCGATTTCTCAACCATCAGGTGTGCACATTTTCTTTCTTTTGTGTTTATGTATGCATTTGTGTGTGTGTGTGTGTGTGTGTGTTTTCCTCAAGTGTTATGCCATCTTTTTTTTTTTTTTTTACCCCCAAGACAGGGTCTTTCACTGGCCTACAGCTTTTTTATGTGGGATAGGCTGGCTGGGCAGTGAATTCAAGTGAGCAGCCTGTCTCTGCTGCGCACTGCGCCCCCGTCTGCGCTCTATGCGCTAGAATCCAGTTAGCAAGCTTTGGGCAAGGGGTTGGAGGTTGAGGAAACACACGCAGAGACAGACTGACACACAGACCTCTAATCGCTGGTACAAAAGCCCCTCTGTAATAGCACCATGAAGGCTTAAATACCCTACAGTCATTGGCCAACAGGTGGAAATCCCATCCTCTGATCCTCTAGGCACAGCTTCTAGTAACTTCAATTAGAAGGTTCTAGACAGGGAAGAGCAGCTGAAGGCCAGGACTCAATTGGCCCCAATATGTCTCTTCTTCCCCATGACTGGAATTACACATACATACCACTGTTCAGGCTTCATTTATAAGTGTGTTGCCCTGTGGGCATCCCCTTCACCCCTTCTGCACCCATTTCTAATATGGTCAGGCACATTCCAGCATCCTTCAAATTCTATCTACTGAAGGTTTTCCTGAAGGCTCCACCCAAGCACAGTTAGAGACAAGTCCTTTCACACTTCTTAAAATACTTTGTGTATCCCTAGCTGCAAAGCTAGGGCATTTTAAAACAATGAGGTGTTTACCGTCCCTTTGAAAGGACACCACCTAATGTTTCCCCAGGTGATTAGTTCAGAAGGTAATTTCAGTAACAAAGATAATTGCAAGCAAATGATTTTGAATGACCTCTTTAAATTGTGTTTTGTCAGAAATTGGATGTCCAAGTATAATGATCATGGGAGAGTGTTCTTTTGATAGTGCAGTAGCCTGCCAACAGGGAGGATTTAAATGCTTGAGGCATTTGAATGGTCCCTGAGTGCTTACAATTAAAATATACAGCAGCTGTTGATGCCCTCCATAGCTCAGGGTGCAACATCTGTCCCCAAATGAGAGTATTTCAGTCATGCTCCAAGAAAACCATAGATCTAAACCTCTTGCCTTACCTGCACGGGTTTTTGCAGTATATTGCTGGCAAGTCAGTGTTGGGCCCTTGAAACAACCCTGCAGGGTGCTTCTCTCCACCCAGTGTGGGGACCACAGAACCTACTGCTAGGACTTAGAGTTGATTGTCCCCTGGCTTACGTGCATTGAAACATCAGCCCCTGGATTTAAATGTGGATTGGAAGTGGGGATATGATGAGGACTTGACCACACCTCAAAGGTGAGACCTCCACAATGACTTTAATTGGGTTATAGGCATAGAGATTCAAGTTTGCACACTGGCTCTGTCTCTTCACTTGATGTCTTCCACCATGAAGCAAGCAGACCAGATGCCAACATCATTCTCTAGATTTTTTGTAAATTACTGAGTATCAAATATTTGGCTGCAGTGATAGAGAACACCCCAAGACACCAGCCATTCTATCCTTCCTTCAACAGTGCTGACACAGGAGAGTGCCAGCTCAGGTGTTGCTGGAGGACACAGTCTCAACAACCTTGGCCGCTTGCAGGGTTTGGGGCTCTGGGATGTTAATAATAAGTACAAGGTCTTGAATGAATTCTTACTCAGCCTTTGAATCAAACCCTAACACAGTGGTTCTAAACCTTGCAATGCTGTGAGCCTTTAATACAGTTCCTCATGTTGTGGTGTCCCCCAACCATACAATTATTTTTGTTGCTACTTCATAACTTAACTTTGTTACTATTATTAATGATAATGCAAATATTTAATGCAGACTATCTGATATGTGACCCCTGTGCAAGGGTTGTTTGACCCCCCCAACAGGGTCATGACCCACAGGTTGAGAACTACTGCTCTAACATAAGTGCCCTTCCGATGAACCCAGAGTATAGGGAATTCCATAACAGTCGTTGGCCCTGTGCATGAAGTCTAGAACATAGATGGCATACAATCAGTGCCAACAGACACTGAGTGCAGTTGAAGGTTCACCTCTGCAAGGTCGCTGCAGTCAGCCCTGTTACTGAGCATCAAGAGCCATTTCACATATGTGACCCTCCCTGAGATCTGGCATCACAGATGCTTCCTGTGTGCATATAACCCTTTACCTAAACACTGTGATCATGTCATAGGTGCCAGTCATGCTCAGTAATACAAACAAATATGAACATATGAATTAAGCCCCAAGAAGCATGGATTTTCATATTTTTCTGTGCGTAATAGCAGGAGTCACAGCTTTTCTGGTCTGAACTTTGATGAGATTTGCTTCAGGAAATTTCAATGTACTTACAAGTTATTATCACCTCAAAACAATGAGCAAACAACGTCAGTTCCAGGGTTGGAGCAATGAGGAAAACCCTGAATTTGACAGGATGTTTAAAGTTCCTGGAAGGAAATTAAAGTTCCTCATACCCTAACACGAGAGGCAGGCAGCTGTTGACAGGGCTTTACCTAGGCAAATGAGGACTGAGAGGCTTTACCACTGTGGCAGCTGACATGAAATGTAATACAAGGTAATGGAGCAGAGACCAGAAAATGCCAATCCAAAGCCTGTAGAATTCTACATTGGAAAGCGGTTTAGCTGTGCTACACAAAGACACAGGGAGGAGATGCTTGGAGGTCTGCCACATTCTACCATGCATTGGACAGAGAGAGAATTGGCAGGTGGTAGTACCTAGCATTCAGCACCTCCAGTCCCTGGAGCAAAGTGCTTCACTTGAAAGGCCTGAAAATCACAGAAGGTAGCCACTTGGTTTGCAAGTGGATACAGAGTTTGTCTGGATAATTCTAGAAGAAGATTCTTCCTGAAGAGCACATTACCTTTGGGCACCTTGGCCCGCCACCGCTCCCGATTGATGTGCACCACCTCAGTCCAAGTGGCTTTAAAACTCTTGTAGTCAACAGGGATGACAGAATTGTTGATGGGGGCGCTTCCTTCTGACCCAGAACTCTTGACACCTGCGCGCTTTGCATCTGAGGAGTTGATGCTGTTCAAACTGGAGAACAAAAGAAATCATACCGAAGATGAGTTGGCGTCAGAGTCTGCAGCATGCAGGCAGTGAGAAAGCCCACAAAAGACTGGGTAGTATTGGCTGAGTTGCCATCATGATACCCCAGGGCCCTGAGCCTTGTGGAGCTGCAGTTTTACATATAAGACAGGTAGGAAATTCTAAGCTTTAGAAGAAAAAAAAATACAAACACTTCATCTTCGTGTGTCACAGTATTCCTTACATCTGTTTATGCTGACTGGGCATTCTCTCTTTTGGTACCCCAAATCCCCTGACATTTATTTGTTCTATTCTGTTCTTTGAAATGAACTAATTTAAACTTGGAGTTTTATTTGCTTCATGATCCACCTACTTGCTACCACACTGTTCATCTTTCCAATTTACTCAGCAAACTGGTCCTTTTTCTTCAGCTCTACCCTTCTGGATTCAAGATCCCTCTAATTTTATGATTATTAAATTATTTTTGTTTGTTTGTTTATATGCACATGCCAGGGCACATATGAGGAAGTCAGAGAATAATATCCAGGAAGTGTTTTCTTCTTTGATCAGGTGAGTCCTAGGCATCAAACTTGGATCATCAGGCTTGATGACATACTTAAGCCATTTTTTTGGCCTTCAGAATCCCTCTAATCTGGGTTCCCTAAACTCAGAAAAAGCAATGATTCCTTTATGTTTCTGAGGGATGGTGGATGACCAGACCATGCCAAAGATCTAATTTTAAATTAACTCTATTTTGTGCTTTAACCATGGGATATGTTGCAAATATCAGAAGGTAGCATTCTTCTGATGGAGTATTGTATGTTCTGAATTAGCTAGACCAGTTAGTGCCATAAATCAGATCTGAAAATGATAATGAAGGGTTACTAGAATTCATTCTAGCCTGTTTCTGAAGAGATAAGAAGGGATATAGACCTATCAAGGGCTTCTGTCCTTGTCGTTTAGCATCTTCAATGTGGGTTCATTCATCTTAAGCAACTTTGAGTTCCTCCTTCTTTGCTCTCTCCCTATTCACTTATTTCCCTGCACATTGCCTCTCATATTTTAAAATCAATTCTACTTACATCCTTTATAACAAAGCTCAAAGCTTTGCAAAGATGTGGAGACAAGCTGTCAATTACAATGGGTTTAGCAACAGCTACTAGTCATGCTAGGAATAGTGAAGTGGTGGTGGTAGTGGTGGTGTTTTGTTGTTGGTGGTGGTGGTGATGGTAGTGGTGGTTGTTATAGTAGTGATGATGTTGGTGGTGGTAGTGATAGTGGTGATGGTGGTAGTGTTTTGTTGTTGGTAGTAGTGGTGATGGTAGTGGTGGTGGTGTTTTGTTGGTGGTGGGGGTGATGGTGGTGGTGGTGATAGAGTTGGTGGTGGTGGTGATGGTGGTAGAGTTGGTGGTAGGGGCAGTTGTGGCCATAGCAGTGGTAGTGGTGATGGCAGTGCTAAGATAAGAAGTGGTAGCAAGAACAGAGGTGACAGCAGCTGTAGTAGCAGAATCAGCTGTGTCACTAAAGACCAAGTGCCAGCTTTACAGTAGCCAGCACTTCTACCATGACAGGTCTTCCAATGATCTTATGAATACTGAATAATTCAATTAACCTGTGAGCATCGTAATCTTATTTTCTCAAATGAGTAACCCGAGTGTGGTGGGAAAATCGTCTCAATGAGGGATTATCTAGATCAAGTTTATCAGTTTGCATATTGGTGGATCATTATCTTGATTACATTAATTGAAACAGGAAGATCAAGCCCACCATGGGATTTCCATGGGTTTGGGTCCTGGACTGTATAAAAGAGGAAAAAAACAGGGTGGTGTAAATATATGTAAATTGATTCTCTTTGCTCTTGAGTATGAGTGTGACTAGCTGCTTCAAGTTCCTGCCCTGACTTCCCCACAATGAAAGACTAAAACCAGGAATTATAAGTTGAATAAACTCTCCCTTTCAGTTGCTTTTGTCTATGTTTCTATCACAGCCTCAGGGAAGGAAACTAGGGCACTGAGCTGATTTATGTGAGACTACACAGGGCAATAAGTTATGGAATCAGGGCAGTAAGCCTGAACTCTGGCTGGAGAGTCTGGCCTCGTACACCTCTACATTTGATATCCTTATGTTTTATGCTGTGATCCATGGCACTAGAAAACACTTAGTGCCCTCTTCTGGTGGGCAGGCATACATGCAGACAGAACATTGTATACATAATAAAGAAATAAAATAGTACAAACTTAAAAAAAAAAAGAAAACACTTAAATTTGAGGTGTTTTGTTATATTGTTTTTAAAATCTGTACTCCTCTTTCTTCCTGAATAGAAATGAAAGTCAGCCTCACTTCTGGTCAGAACTCTGATCAAAAGCCTGACCATCTGCAGAATCAGGAACAAGGGCTTTCTGCACTACAGAAGTGTACTGATCAGTGCTTCTGGAAACAAAGGCTTCAGAGTGTGGGGCATCCCACTCTGGCCTTGGGTCACCTGTTATGGGCCAGCCTAGCAAACATAGAGAGTATTATTCTAAATCCTCTGAAATAAAGAAGGAGGCAGACATGTCTCCCGTAAGAAGCAAGAGAGGTACACCTCATTGTGACAGCACACATCCTTCAACAAAAGAATGCTACCACCACCCAGATCTCAAACTTCCCCACTGACCTTGAGCGCCTCTGGCCAGTCCCACCAGTCTGGGAGGTTTCATCGATTAAGGGACTCACAATCTTCTCAGTCATATCTGTGAGCACGGTAAAGGTGGGTTCCACAATGAAGTCAATAAAACCTACAAAGAAGCAGCCGTGGCTCAGATAACAGCATGCTAACAGGGATCAGTCCTGGTTTCTCACTAGAAACCAATTACTCTTTTCTTCACCTATCCACCAAACAAAGAAAACACCACCTCTAGACGGGAGCTCCAAACCAGTCAAGAACTAGTTGGTCACATTCTTATTGAATGTCACGAGACAATTTCATTTCCCCTATATAATTTTCTTAGGACTTTTTAATCAGGGATTCAATTGAAAGCTTCAAAATACAATTTAACACCTGCTATATAATAAACAGTGTGATGTGTTTTACTAAAGGTTGAAGACAAATAATGCAAACCAATAGTCTTCCAAAGAATTTGTAGGTAAAATTTAATGGCGACAAAAAGGAGCCCTAGAGTTTCTGCAGGGCCAAAGGAGAAGCCCGGATGAAGGTCCTTGGGAAAGATATAGAAGAGAGGAGATGTTTTGCTCTTCTAGAGACCAGTGAACAGTTATGTGGAGGCTTTGTGTTTGAGCCAAGCTCTCGAGGATGGATGTTAAGAACAATGTGGCTATTCGCTCTGGACAGAGGGACTTTCAGAGGCTGAAAAGTATGCAGGTGATGACTGTGCAACCACTGGGGAGAGGGAAATGCTCTGAACTTTGAAAAAAAAACGTTTGGGGAGGCCAGTTATCCACAGTTATGTCAGGAAAGGAAGCACTTAAGGTTTGGAACCAGAGAATTACTGGGCTAGCTTGACAACAGCTGCAAAGCTTTGTGATGATAGATTGAAATGAACTTTGATCCAGTCCATGCAGCAAGAGGCATGGAAAGGCAGTGAAGAGGAAAGACAGAGAGTGGGAAAATCTTGCTAGGAGCTATTGCAGCTGCTCAAACAGAAGATAAGAGCCTGAGAACCAGAGCTGTTTTACACTGGGCACCAAAAGGACACATAGTACAGCACAGGAGGAGGCGCTGCTCTAGAGGCCCTAGCAACAAAGTCGTAGAAATGAGAGGAGACAGAGGATGAGCTGCAAGCTGCTGACCTGAAATACAGGAGGCAGAATCGAATGGGAAGTTAAAAGAAAGAATTGGGAACTGCATTAGGATCCTTTCTGCAATGAAACTTTTTAAGATGGGCATACTAGAAAGTAAGTGAAAGCTGGCTTAGAGTGATTGTCTTAGCTTAAAAACAAACGACCAAACAAACAAATAAAACAAAACAAAACCACTAACAACAACAAGAGAGAAAGAAAGAAAATTAGATGAGTATTTGTTACACATTGAGTGAACATAGTACACACATTGGCACTAATAGGGATGGAGTAAGTCATCCATAGTCACATATAAGGATGGAGACAAACACCCACCAAGGGAGCTACTGCCCACTTCTTTGAGTAGGTATCTGGAAATGCAGTGATGAATATTTAGTTTTCATAGTTACTGGTGCTGATACTCATCAGAGAAGGATGCTGAACAAACTGTATGTAACCCACAAAATAAGAACTGTCTATCTGATAAGGAAACAATTTTTAAAAAAATTGTTTTGCAGTTCATAACAATTTATTTTGGTGCTCAAACTGCAGTATTTGATGGTACCCAGAATTCTTTTGCTAGGCCCCTATTTCTTACAGGAGAGTGTAAGCATGTGAGCCATTCTTGGCACAATGTAAAATCCTGGTCTTATTTTTCTCTATATTGTCTCTCACTGTACTCTTTTCCCTACCAACTGTTCCTGCCATATTGGAGCGACTGAGAATTCACTGACCATATTAAGCAGTTTTTAATCTCTCTGCTTTCTCTATCTCCTGTCTGTGGTGTCATTTTACCCAGCACTAAGCAATTGCTAACATGTACCTTATCTATCACTACCTGCCTAGACTTAAATGCTTCCTCAGATATAGCTCAAATATCACTCCTTAATAAGTCTGTGTGGACCACCTGAATCTAATGGTTCTCATACGTTGTAAGAGGGCCACTTTTTGTTTCCCAGCCGCCCAGTAGTTCAGACCTGAAATAATCACACAGAAACTATATTATTCAAAACACTTGGCCCATTAGCTCTAGCTTCTTATTGGCTAATACTTATATCTTAATTTAACCCATTTCTAGTAACCTGTGTACCACCACGTGGCTGTGGCTTACTGGGTAAAGCTGTCAGCATCTGTCTCCATGGAGCTACATGGCTTCTCTCTGACTCCGCCTCCTTTCTCCCAGCATTCAGTTTAGTTTTCCCCACCTACAAGTTCTGCCCTATCAACAGGCCAAGGCAGTTTCTTTATTCATCAATGGTATTCACAGCATAGAAGGGCAATCCCATATCACTCATACTGTCTATGTATTCCATTGTAAAATGTTAAGATTCTACTTTCAGCATGCATAGTGCTCTAGCATACACTGTTTCCTAACATCTTACCTACCCACTGTCTAATACTAGTTTAATAATGTCCTTAAAAGTAGGTACCATGTACAGTTAGTTTTTTTACTTTATAGCATCTATTATAATTCGTAGAGTGCCCAGTACCTGACAGGAACTCAAGACACACCGCGATAAAACAAATAAAACAATGAAGGTGCACATAAAGTTGAAGCAAATACCAGTCACAGTGACACACATTCTCAGTCTTAGCTCCTGGGAATCAAAGGCAGGCAGGTCAGGAGGCCAAGGGCCTTAGCTATACAGTCAGTTCATGGTCAGCCTGGCTCATGGTTAGCTTTAGCTAAATGGCCAGTTTTTGCCTAGCCTGGATTAAAGGAGACTCTATCTCTGCTCCCAAAGTAGGCAGGTAGAAAAGGCAGGAATTCTTTATTAAATAGATTTTTGAGTGATCATAGACTCTTCTAAAGTAGAGTTCACTCATGACATTTATTTAATGTGATGGGTGACACTGTTTATCTTTCTCACAGCTGAGGGTTTTTGTAATACATGTAATATGATATAATGGTAATTCTTTTTTTTTAACCAAAGGAAAAGAGTGAGGAAATGAAAACAATTTAAAAGAGGCCTCCCAGGAAGGAGGAAAGTCCTAAACTTATACAAAAGAAACATCAAGAAGGAGAGATGGTCAAGTTGTGCACTCCTTTAATCCCAGTACTCAGGAGACAGAGGCAGGTGGATCTCTGAGTTTGAGGCCAGCCTGGTCTACAGAGTAAGTTCCAGGATAGCCAGGGATACACAGAGAAATCCTGTATTAAAAAGAAGGAGGAAGAGGAGGAGGAGGAGGAGGACGAGGAGGAGGAGGAGGAGGAGGAGGAGAAGAAGAAGAAGAAGAAGAAGAAGAAGAAGAAGAAGAAGAAGAAGAAGAAGAAGAAGGGGGGAGATGGTAAGATGATCTAGTATTGAAGCATGATAAAGGCACTCAAGCAAAATGGGCTTCCTAACTACAGTATGCACAGATATTTCCTTGGGTACTTGAAGTCCTCTTTCCTTGGGGCAGGAATGATGGAGACTCCAAAATTCCTCCATCTAATTGACCTCCAGTAGAAGCCACGGCCCAGAGAGAATGATGTCACTTCAGCCTTCCAAAGGCTGGCAGAAATGAGCCAGACTCCCAGCTGGGATCACCAAGCACAGTGGCCCTGCCCACCATGGATATACCATCTGATGCTCCTTCTAAGCAGCTGGCAAATACCTACCCACTTGTGACTGAGCAACCATGGTTGACTTTCTGTCACAGAGAGGAGAAAACGGCAGCCCCAGCTCAGCTTCTCTGTCTCCCTAGAAAAACACAAGGTCACAGTAAACAAAAGAACAGTGGGCTGAACAGCCCAGATTTTATTTAGCAGCCTCAACTCCCACTTAGACCACTTATCTTTATTTTAATTATTACAATTACGTTGGATAATAAGTCCTGGTGGGACTTGCTCCTCTAAACTAAAGACACCAAGAAGTGGTGGCTTCCGTAATCATTCCCTCTGAATGCAGTCTCATGCTGTCCCAAAGAAAGCTTCACAGGGCAGCAATAGGTTCCCCATGGAAAACCAGGCAGCAGTCCATGTGTCCTGTGGCCTGGGGCCAAAATCACAGTTAGAATGGTCGTGTTCCCCACAGTTTTCCTGTGGCTACCTGTAACCTTCTTCTAGCCTGAACTCCCAGTGGTAAGCTGTGTCCAAAAGGGAAATTCAAACTGACTAACATGGCTTTGTCTCCTAACATTAACTAAAGCCACATGCAAAGGGAGTACATGCTTCTGTGTTTCCCACCCTAATACTTGATATCCTGTGAACAGTGGACTAGAAAGAACCAGTTTATTCAACAATAATATAGCATAGCTGTGCAGACACAATGTTCTTCACGGTGTCCAAAAGCACCTCTCTAACAAAAGTGCTATGGGAATCTAACTGTTGATGGAGATGGCCTTTAATAACATGAAACACAGGTTCAATCTTTCTGTCATGTCCAGAGGAAGGAGACGAACATATCTCCTCATGTCTATCAATGGACTGTGTTCTTCCTTTTCTTGTAGGAAGAAACTCACTCAAGTTAATGGCTACTAGTCATGCTTGAATCCTGTCTTTTTGCTGTGGGGCGTGTGGTCCTAGGAAGGTCACTGTCCTTGGCTGTTTCACAATGTTCCACCTGTTCAATGTGGGATAGCAGTCCAAACCTAAAGGGCTTATCATGTGGCAAAATGACAAAAGACATATAGGAAATAAGAAGAACTACTAAAAGAATTACTGTTGTCAGAGAGGTAGCCATATTTGAAGTTAAGCTTTGAGAGACATGAGGTGAATTTGTTCCAGCTCGCGCCGTAATGTCTAACTGTAATGACCATCACCAATTAGTTAGTAGGACTTGGAAACCTTAATAGCCTCTAGCCAAGACTGCCTTAACTTCTGAAAGCTCCTTTCTAAATAATATCACCAAAGACTCAGATAAGAATTCTAGCAAAAGCATGAGGTAGATTTTTCAGAGGCTTTATATTGATCATAGTTATTGCATACTTTGGGAGCTAATACCTACAAAGAGCCAAGAACCAAATGGCAAAGCATTTATGGAGCAAAAATTTCAATGCAGAGAAAGAAAAAAAATAATAGAAACTCTGGCTAGCCCATGACAGCACTCATATTTAAAAAGTATACAAAAGTCTGATATTTAACTGATATAATGAAGAAAGCAAATTGCTGTGATTGAATGCAAAATGTGTTGACGACTTGGTTCCCAGCTGGTACAATAGACTCAGGCCTGATGAGCCAAGTGGGCTTGGAGGAAGTGTGTCACCAGCAGCTCAACTTTAAAGGATATATCTCATGCCCTCAGAACTTTCTTCTCTTGCTCTCTTGGTTTCCTGTTTGCCAGTAAGGGAGCAGTATTTTTTCCCCTGATAGTCTGCCACATGCCTAAACACAATGGAACAGACTAATCATGTGCTGAAATCTCCACAACCATGAGCCCACATATACTTTCCCCCTCTTTCCCCTTTTTTTGTTTATTTATCTGCTGTGGAACAATGGTCTTGGACCCTATAACATTTGTCACTTGTATTGGTTTAGTAAAATGCTGATTGGCCAGTAGCTGGGCAGGAAGTACAGGTAGGGTGACCAGAATAGGAAAATTCTGGGAAGAGTAAAGGCTCAATCTGCAGTTGTTACCCAGATGTAGAGGATGCAAGATGAGAATGTCTCACTAATAAAAGGTACCAAACCATATGACTAACACAAACAAGAATTATGGGTTAATGTAAGGTGTAAGAATTAATTAATAAGAAGCCTGAGCTAATAGGCCAACCAGTTTATAATTAATGTAGACCTCTGTGTGTTTCTTTGGCATTGAACGGCTGAGGGTCCTGGAGGGACAGAAACCTCTCTCAACATTTATCTGTCTGTTTGTTTGTTTGTTTGAGACAGTTTCTCTTTGTAGCTCTGGCTGTCCTGGCACTTGCTATTTAGACCAGGTTGGCCTTGAACTCTCAGAGATCCTTGTTCCCCTCCTTTTTGAGTGCTGGGATTAAAGGTATGTACCACGAAGCTCAGACCCAATACTTTCTCTCTTTAAGTTCATATTCTCAGGTGTTTTGTTTGGTCATAGTAGCAGAAGATTAACTATCATATAGACACATCTGATATTCTTTTGAATGTAAGCTGAAAATCAGACAGAGAAATCTTCCATAATCCACAGACTTTCACAAAGGAGCTGAATGCATACATCTAATTTAAACTCCAAAAAATAATAAATTATTTGATCAATAAAAAAGTAATTTGGAATCTACTAAGTGAAGAAATATATCACTAAAATATAGAAAAGTTGGAAAATATTCTATTTGAGGTAACTCTTGGTTAAAAGGAAAAGAAAAATCAATTTTAAAGACTAGCACTAAAGACTGCTTTGGAGCACAGTGTGTCAGAGCAGCAATAAACAAATAAGTCTCAGTTTCTGTTTTCTAAACAAGTGGAAATGAAAGCAAATGAAGTGAGCATAGAACCCAGAGAGTTAGAAAAACAAAAGTCAAGGAGATGAATAAAGATGCAACCATTATCACTGAAGAAGCAATGCTGAGACAATAGCATAGTCTTGTAGGGGAGGGATTGAAAAATTCAGCAATGCATATGAAATAAAACAAACAGACATAGAAGAAATGAAAAGAACTGTGAGAGATGTTTCCAACATATGAAAGTTCACAGTGATATCAAGGAAAGGAACCTCAAAGCTTTTCAGAAGGAGATGGATTTACCAAGGCAGACGTCCTTTTTCAAAGTCAGTGCTTCATTTAAAATTAGCCCATGACTGTGGCACAGATTCTGTAGAACATGGTTATGAAGTTGATGAAGGATGCCTGGACCATGTCCAGAAGGGCCAGTTATTGCATTATTTTGAAATTATACTCCAACCTTCTGAATGTAATTCTGAAAAGGCTCTCTGGTCCCATTGGGGTTTCCCATGTGAACTGCTCAATTTTAAAGCTATCATTAAGAGCTGGAGGATCATTATTCCTCTCATGGGTTACCTGCTGTGCTTTGGCATCTGGCTTAAGACAATAAAAATACTTAACTGAACTACATTCACTAAAGCCAGTTCAAGTGCAATGAGCTAGCATGCCAGTCCCAGTAGACCAAGAAATTCAGTATGGTTATTTCCACATTGCCCTTAGCACATTCTCATTCCTTGTGAGTTTATGTGTACATACACAAATAACGTTTCCTTTATGGTGAGGAAAAAACGTTCACATAATTAAGTGATTTCACACACTCTCGTAATTCAAAAAAGGAATCACTTCAATATATCAAACATACATGAGTTAGCCACGATCTGTCCACTGGCCTTACTGAATATTACTAGCATGATGGAGGTATTTTTACAAAGCTATATCTAAGGGAACATATGCAAAATGAGGGGTGGGTATTTAGAGAAAGGTCTCACACTACTGTTAGAAAAACAGCCAAAAATTACTTAAAGTAAGCCCTCAATGAAGGATGAATTTGCAGTTGGTTGTCCTTGTGTACACACCAGGGTCACAAGCTCCTCCCATGCCCACTCTTCACTCTACTCTTCTCATCATGGAGCCTGGGGATTACTCCTGAGACCACAAAACAGGTATGCAAAGAACCTGCCCATATAAGGACAGGGCACATGACCTGGGGTCACGGTGGTTGCCTGTATGTGGACTGCTACCCATGGACCCACGGAAGAGAGAACACAGGGTATTTGAGGCTGAAGCATTCATAAGAATATTCATCCAATCTTACCCTGAATCTTTTCTGTTCCCTCAAAAAGAAAAAAATCACAGAAAACACAAAAGACAAGGGAATCAGAACTGCAACTTGATTGGTCCCAGGCTGCAAAATGTTGGAATAAAACTCTGATGGACAGTTTGGGGTTTTGCAACTGTTAACTCTAGTGCCACTTACTACCAGACACGTACAGCTTCAGAAAGAAAAAAGTACACATGTAAATTTTTGTGCAGTTATTTCCCCATTCAAACAAGAATCATAACACTAAGATCATCAGGAAGATTTCAAGTTCAAGCCCAGGGTAACCAGGGTGTCAGTGTGTCCCCAAAGCTAAGACGGTGGAGAGTTAATTCCCAAAGTCATGTGTGGATAGTATTCAGCGATGAAGCCTTTAGAAGACAGCATGGATTAGATAAGACCTTGAGGGTGGGTCACTAATACCCCATGAAGGAAGTTTTAAAGCAGAGAGACCAGAGCTAGCACTGTGATGTTCCCTACAAGTAGGCTCACCAGATGCCAATGCCAGGCTAATGTAGTTCCAGGTTCCAAGGCCACGATCTAAATAAATCTCTATTCGTTATAAATTATCTTGTTTCAGGTATTATAGCAACAGAAACTGAACTAAGGCTCAGAGAAGGAACCTAACCCTAGTCATTTGAGAGAACAATGGTGAGATGGGATATTAAGTGTTATTAGGGATTTAGAGTTTTCAGAACCCACGCTGTGTACCTCCCTCTTTGAATGAACTGGAACTAGCTGAATGAACTGACAGTAACTGAGGTCTGTAATCTACATTTCACTGACTGAGCTCAGCATCTCGTGTCTCAAAGCCGGTATCTGTGGCAGTTCTTCTCAAGGCAAGACTAGCATCTGTGCCAGGGTGAAGAACTAACTTTAACCCCCAAGACCTCTGTCTTGGGGACACATACTTGTTTTGTTCTTTGATTCTGTTATATTCACATATTTGTATTTGTCTTAAAGCAATGCATACCCAAAAAGATATTAAAGTCATGTTATCAATAACATGACTCTGGATTGAAGGTGTGGTTAAATTTAAATGCACTTAAACAATAATTCCTAGTGATTTCTTGATTCCAGTTTGCCATATAATTTTGAAACATTATGTCATGGCTCATCCATCAAAAGAAACAACCTACCCAATAATAAGAGACATGAGTCAAAGTTTATCAGCTTAGTCCTGCAGGGCGATACCAAAATAGCCTTAATAACTTTTTGGTAACTCAATAGAAAAAAAAAAGGAAAAGTCCTCTTCAAATAATGCTTAGAGAAGAGACTGCCACGAGAAAACACTTTTCCTCAAAGCAGAAATGCCTAGGACAGAATGCACTTCACAATGTCTTGAGAATCCGAATTTTGATAAAATTTCAGAATTATGACTACAGAAATAAAACAATCATGAAAAGCCTCTTTCTCCAAAGAAAATAATTACATCCTCCACGGTCCTTGCCAGAGAGATGCTGGACTAGTCAATTCCCAAAGATGCCCAGTGTCAACCCTGGTGAGCAGCAAGAGACAAGGTACCTGTCTGAAGAACTCTTCCAGGAGAGACATGGTCCAGCGATGGTGCAGGTCCCAGGCTTTTGCAGGGTGGCTGATGTCTGCTGTGTGCAGCATCAAAGATAAGGCTTTCGGCTTTTCAATTCTGCAAACCCAACACACGCGAGCACACAGTGACCACACACCTCAAACACTGGAAGTTTTGAAAATCTTTAAAATCACCTCTAAGTACCATCTCTATGTTGGTGAACGGACAGTTCAGCATTTAATGAATGGGGTACTTCCCACTTAACTAATGTATGGAGTGGTTGCATTTTTCAACCAGATGACAAAAATCTAAACAATACATTCGTCCTTTAGCTACCGCTACATTTAACAGACCTTTGATCTGTTACTAATTACTTACAGGGTCATGATGCTAACTGGGGCAAACTGGTACCGTGTCTTGTATTCACTCGATTCACAGATTCTGATAAACCACTTGTAGCTAATTGTGAGATGACATATGATGTTCAAGCTCCCTGCTCCAGACATCACTACTTTTTGAGATAACCCAACCATTATCCTGAAGGTGATGTGTTTTCAATGTTTAAAATGTGCAAATTTCAGTCCAAGCCCTATGAGAACATAATGTCACAAGCTACTCACGCTTCTGGCTGCTGCAGGGCTGTCTTCATGGCTTTGATTTGCTGGAAATGACAGGACATATCCGTGGCCATTACCATCTCAATTACCAAGGTGCGAAACTCCCTTTTGGGGATGCCCATGAAGAAAAGGCATGAAAACAAAGAAAAGGAAAATCCAAGTTATGTTTTGCCACATTTAGTCAAAAATCAGTTAATTGTTTCAGACATTTCAAATCTAATGTCAGTCTTTTCAGTGGAATTTTTATGAAGTGGGATATAAATGACGGATAAGGACTAAAGAATAATCTATTAGGAATATGATAAGGAAGATGGGAATTCACTCGGTAGTCAAGGGCATTTAATCCTCTTGCAGAGGTCCTGAGTTTGATTCTGAGCACCCACATCAGGATGATCATCTCTCTGAGCACTTGAATCCATGTGTGCATACCCACACACAGACACACACACATGCACAGAATTTACAAATCAAGTAAGTCTTTACAAAACAAGATGATACATCTATCATTTGGAAAATTACAGTGAAGCTAAAATATGAATTCAAGTGTTATCTTCTCAGCTGAATTCATTCTTAAGATAAAACTAACTTGAAATAATCCTAGAAACTAGACTGATAATCTACTGGATACTTTGTGTATTCCGCATTTTACAAACAGGCTTAATTTTTTTTTTTTTTTTTTTTTTCGAGACAGGGTTTCTCTGTGGTTTTGGAGCCTGTCCTAGAACTAGCTCTTGTAGACCAGAGCTGGTCTCGAACTCACAGAGATCCACCTGCCTCTGCCTCCCGAGTGCTGGGATTAAAGGCGTGCGCCACCACCGCCCGGCTCAGGCTTAATTTTTAAAGCTTATAGAAAAACAGAGCAGGGCACATCTCCTCTCTTGTAGTTTCCCAAATCACAAAGCATTCTGTGCTTACATGGGGTTCAAGAGTTACAGCCAACAGACCAATGTCAATACTTTTATTAAATGAAGTCCATAGTTGACTTGGGGCTCACTCATCGTACTGCACAGTTTCATAGGGTTTGATAAATGTCTCTGCCATGTGTCTAATATTTTAACATCATATAGAATGATTTCTGCATCCCTAGTTTTCCTGTTGTTTCCTCCATCCCCTGAACTCCTGGAAGCTGTTAGACACTATACTGAACTAGCAAAAGAAACCGAGGCATAATTTATGTACAATAAACAGCTCCGATGGAAAAAGCAAGATTCAACTGGTTTTAGCAGCTGAATAAGTCTTTGAAAACACCATTGCAGGATAACAAATACTTTTCATTTCTTTCAGGCAGTTCCACTTTCTACTTCTACATATGTATGTATATAATGTGTATGCATGTGTATGTTTATAATGCTAATATATGAATGTGTATTGGAATGATAAACATATAAGCATGCTATACATGTATACATGTACACTGTACTTTATATACATTATACATATACAGATATACATACTTACAGGTATATAAAACAAAATGTTCTCTTTTGTCTGAGTTCCTTTGCTAGGCATAAGAACTTGCTACATGTGTTAAAGAGGGTCACCGATAGTTTCTTGCTTCTTCCAGTTGGGAGGTCTCCCAACTATTGCAGTTACTTATTCACTTAACAGATGATATACAGTTGGTGTACTCTACACTAGTTTAGGATGACGACAAATAAATCATCCCTGGTTATCTGTGTGCAAGTCTTTACATGGACATGGTCTCATTGCTTTAGGGCAAATATCCAAAATTGAATGGCTGTTTTGTTAGGCACCTGAGTATTTAACCGTATAAAACACTGCCAAACCTTTTGCAATAGGACTGTGTTAAGCTCACATTTTTGACAAGCTTGCTCAAGTTCTGTTTTTCCTTTCCTGCCTTCTCTCAGCCTTATTTCTAGCCATCTAGTATTGTGTGCAGTTTTCTTTTGCATTTTGTTGAACAAATACTATTGTTGAGTACCTCATGTGCTTTTACCACTTGCATATCATTTTTTAGGAAACTGTGTTTCAATTAATTTTTAATTTTTAAAGGAGAGTGTTTCTTTAAAAACTTTCATTACTGACTTGTCAAGGTGCATTGTGCTTCTGGATACAAACCCCAATAGGACATGCACAGTACCGACATTCCCCAGTGTCGTCAATTCGGTACCTTCCAAAAAGTTTAATTTTCATCACATTGAATTGATTATTTTTTAAAATGCTTCTCACCTTTCGTGTCCTAAGAACCCCATGTTTCCTGAAGACATCCCTGTGCTTTTCTGTAAAATGCTTGCCACTACCATTGTTATCATAGTGGGGAACAAGCCCAGTGTGCCTGCCGCTGAGCTGCATGCTGGACCGAGTGGCCATTTCACGTTTTATGTTTTTATTCTTCAGTCTGCCACTGCCCCAGCTGAGTTATTTCAGCCTGCCTAGGTTTTATCACAAAATTTGAGTGAATTGTTGAGTATGCTTAATGTAAGGGTCAAAATCGCTGTTTTCCATAGACACCCACTTGTTTTAACACCGTTCACTGAAATGAGTTTCTTTTCCCCTTCAGTTCATCTTAACTATCAAAAATCAAGTGGTGAGGGGTCTTAGGAAATCCTTTAGTCAGCGCAGTGCTTGCCAGGCAAGCGTGAGGACAGAGTGCTGTATACGACAGGACACGTTTGTAACCTATCACTGAGGGAAAGGGAATCAGGACAAGAGGATCTGCAAAGCTTACTGTCCAGCCAATACTAAGAATCTGTGACCTCCAGGTTCAAGGAAGAGACACTGATTCAAAAAATAAGCTGGAGAACAGTAGAGGAAGACACCTAATACTGACCTCTGATCGTCATTCTTAAAGATTTTTAATTCGCATACAAAGTAGTAGCTTTCAGCATGTCTGTATATATATAAATATCACAACATTGAGATTGTTTCTCAGCCCCCATCCTTTCTTGCTCCTCCTCCCTCCTCTTCCTAAGGAGCCCTCATTCTGCCTTTATGTCATACTTGTGTTTACTTAATGATGATGCAGAGAAGAGAAAAATTCAATATCTATTTTTCTGCCTTTGGTTTATTTAACATGATGACCTTCATTTCGACTATTTTTCTACAAATTCCATAATTTCATTCTTCTTTGTAGATGAATGAAACTCCAGTGCAGGGGCTGCAAGAGGGCTTAGTGCAGTGGTTCTCAACCTTCCTGATGCTGTGATCCTTTTCTCCAGCTCCTCATGTTGTGGTGACGCCCAACCATAAAATTATTTCATTGCTACTTCACAACTATAATTTTGCAGCTGTCATGAAACATGATGTAAATATTTGATATTCAGGATATATGATATTTGACCCCTGGGAGAGGTTCTTCCACCCCCAACGGGTTGCAACTCCTATTTTGAGAACCCCTAACTTAGTGGGTAAAGGCACTTTCTACCAAGTCCAATCTCCTGAGTTTGATCCCACCTTGTGAAGGAGAGAACATCATGGAATGTGTGTACCCACCGTCCCTCTCATCAATTAATGAATATCATAAAATGTCCACTGTGTACATGCACTATATTTTCTTTATTCAGTCACCCAAGAATCCAAGATGGGTGTCTGGGATGATTCATAGCTTGACTCTCGTGATCACAGTCACAAATGAAGATGGGTGTGCAGGTGTCTCTGTGGTATTCTCACACATTTCTTTAGGAATGCATCCAGCAGTGGGAGAGATGAATCATACGGTTGTTCTCTTATTAGTTTTCTCGGAAGTTTCCACGCTGATTTCAACAAATTTAATCCTTTTATCTCCTGCCTTGCATAAGAATTTTCAATGCAGTTTTCTAATGGCTAGCTGCTAGTCTATTATTTTTTACATTAACTTCATATTTAGGAGCCTCATAAAAATCATTATCATTTTAGTAGCTGCCATAATAGTCTTAGGGCTTTCCGTACAACCAGATCTCATTTGCTTACAGAAACACTTCACGTTGTTTAATATAAGATTAGACATCCTATTCTTGTTCTTAGTCTTCAGTATTTCACCATGAAGGCTGATATTAACTATGGCTTTTCACTGCTGCCTTACCCAGCTGGAGAGGCTATAGGCTCCTTTTTGTTTCTCTTTGGAAGAGGTTTTATTTGAGAAGTAATGACCTTTGTCAAATGTTTTGGATATAGCTATTGAAATGACCTGACCACATGGTTTGTTTGGGGTTTTGTTGTTGCTTGTTTGTTTGTTTGAGTGAATGAGTCACTGTATGACTCTGGCTGGCCTGAAATAGCTCAGTATGGATTCCAACCGAGGATCCTCCTGCCTCAGTCTCCAGTGTGCTGGGATTACAGGCTTGCATCTGTAACATTTGGCTTTCTTTGCTTGCTTATTTGCTTTTAATAAGGTGAATTCTTTTCATTTATTTTTGAGTGCCAAATCAACCAAAAATTTATGTTTGTTCGTAAAACAGGGTTTTCTGTACCCAACACTGACTGTGCCTTCTTTATGTGGGGGGGGGGTAGATGACCTTGAAATTCTAATCCTTGTGCCTCTACTTTTTTAGTGCTGGGGTTACAGGCATGTTCTACAAATCCAATTGTATACAGTACAAGGGATGAAACTCAGGGCTTCATGCATGATAGGCAAGCACTCCACAAATCAACCTAAATCTCCAGCCCTGGGATTAACTCAAAGACTTATGGAGGTTGACAAGACCAAGGTCAGCAGGGGCCGTCAGCAAGCTGTAGACCTTTAGGGCCAAATGATATACTCCAGCCAAAGCCAACAGACTCAAGGAAGATTCAGGAAGACGGTTTCAGTTCAAACTCAGGGAGAGAGAATTTGATCTTATTTGGGGAAGGGTGAACCTTTTATAGTATTTGTCTAACCCTTAGCTCCTTGTATGATGCCTGTTAATATTAGGAATGACAGTCTGCTTTACTGAGTCTACTCCTTTCTAAGTTAGCTTCAACTACAAACAGACTCATGGAAAGATCTTGAATGTTTTCAAAAAAATATCAAAGGCTCACTGTGGCCAACTTGAGTTGATGTAAAATTAACCACACTATCCAAATCAAACTTTCTGCATAAGATTTCAAATGTTGATATTTAACAAGAATTTATGCATTTATGTTCATGAGGTTTACTAGACCCTAAGATTCATTTTTGTGATAGTTTTGTAAAAGCATAGAGCTTAAAGTTATGTCTCATGAGGCAAATTAGAAAGTGATTTCTTCTTTCAATGTTTTACAGATAATTGGCCTAACATCGTGATGATCTCTTCCTTGTGCTTTCAAAGACTTTGTTAGAGGGAATATCCAAGAATGGAAGTTTCTTGGTATGAAAATTTTGATGGCAAACTCAAATGCTTTAATAGATACAGGAATATTAAAATGATTTGTTTTATCTTTTGTGAGACTTTTTAAGTTGTGTTGTTGCAAAGTATTTGTTTATTTAATCAAAGTCACCAAGCATGATGAAATAATATTGCAATATTTTCTTACATATTTGAAATATGTAGAATCTGAGAGTGGCAATATATGTTCTAGCTCAGCAAAGTTAGAAACTTATCAATTTTGTTGTTCTTTTCAAAGAACTAGATTTTAGTGTTGTTAATTCTTTTTTCTGTTGTCTGTAGTTTTATGGGTTTCTTTAGTAAGATTGTTGTTTCTGCCTTTCTCTCTACACTGAGTTTGCTGTTCTTATTCTAGCTTCCCACAGTTATTGTGTTTATATAAAATTTTCCAACAAGATGTTCTGATGTCTCAGGTATATGATTATTTCTGTTCTCTTCAATATTTTATTTTCTGTGAGGTAAATCTCAAAGAAAATAACAGTGGCAAGAGGCACAGATATAGGTTGTGTGGTGGTCTGAAGGAAGTGGCCTCAAAGTGGCAATACTTGCAGGTATGGCCTTGTAGGAGTAAGTTTGGTCTTTTTGGAGGAAGTATCAACTGTGGAGACAGGCTTTCAGGTCTCATATATGCTCAAGCCACACCTATTGTCTGAGACCACTTCCTGTTGCCTGTGCAGGATGCAGAATTCTCAGCTCCCTCTCCAGCACCATGTCTGCCTGCACTCCACCATCCTCTCTGTCACACTGGTAATGGACTGAACTTCAGCAATTGCAAGCTCCATCAAATGTTTTCATTTATAAGGGTTCCTGTGGTCATGGTGTCTCTGCAAAGCAATAGAAACTCTAATACAGATGGTGAGTGTATAGACTTCACTAAACTAATTTCAAGGGACTAATTTACAGAGTTTATATTAATTCACCTATGTGCTTTGAATCACTCAGTTTTATAATGTATTAATCAGAGGGCATACTCAAATGATTTAAGCCAATTCTAGTATTTCTGTTACTTTGCACATGATCACCAACAATCACACCAGGAAGGAAAATGAATATCACTTACCTTTTTCGAACAGAATTGTATCCAAAGAAAATGAGAAAATACCAAACAAAAATAAAGATAGAAATGATACATCCGATCTTTATAAAGATGTGAAAAGCCAAGTTAGCATGCTTTGGGGGTCTCTGTGTGAGAGAACAGTGTGGAGTTTGCCCAGTGGCTCTTTCCTCAGCAGCAATGTGTTCCATCTACCCACACTCCCCCTCTGGGGCTTCCAAACTGCCTTCTCACATTACCTCCAGTCATCCTTTGAGAGGTTGACCAGAATATTCATCTCCTCGTCATCCTGAAGAAGGCGGTAGGCTGCACTCAAGTGGTGGTTCTCCAGGACAGATCTGTCATTGTACAAGATAGCTGGATCCGACCTGTGCAGAGAGACACACAAACTCCTTCAGGTTGGGGCCTAAATGGGGTGTTGATTTTTAGCACCAGCAACTCTGGGCTCCCGCTCAAGTCCACTTAGGGTGTGCAAGGACATGGAACAGCGATTTTATTAGAGTGCAGAGACAATTTATTTTTTCCTAAATGTAAATGAAAATAAATAACCGAGAAGATCCCCAAATGTTTATAAGAAGCTATGAGCCTCGGTTTCCTTGATTGCACAACTGGAGGCTCAGGAAGATGGTCATGGAGTCCTGTACCTGGCTGTCAGCAAGCAGCAAGTGACCCTTGTGGTTATTAGTGACATGCAGAAGCTGAGGTACACGCTATCAAAGCAGCATGATGATGGAGACCACATCAAGGTCCAGAGAACTGACAGGCGCAGGCCAATGGTCAGTGTCCTAAACCCAGAGCATAGGCGATCTACCCAAGAGAGGCCAGAGGGATGTGTCATTGCCAGCAACTGATCCACACTTCAAGGGACGTGTGCCTGCCTGGAGGGTCTGGGAGGATGCATCCATGATGGGAGCAAACAGCAGCTGCAGCTTCTGAGCACAATTGAGGCTCGTGCTCTGGGCCTTGCAGTCACAGGCATACAGGGAACAGCCTTTGTGGGGCTGGGGAGACGGCCCACTCAGAAAAGTGCTCGACAAACAAGACGAACTGAATTTGATCCTCTGAAGTCACATTAAAATTCCAGGTGTGAGTCAGGCAGTGATGGCACACGTCTTTAATCTCAGCACTTGGGAGGCAGAGGCAGGTGGATCTCTGTGAGTTCAAGGCCATCCTGGTCTACAAAAAGAGATTCAAGAAATCCAGGGCTACACAGAGAAACTCTGTCACAAAAAAGCAAAGCCAACTGTTGTGTGAGCCCACTTGTTTGTTTCCCCACCGTGGCCTGGCCGCCCAAACTCCCGAAATAACCACACGGAAACCGGATCAGTTAAATCACTGTTTGGCGCATTAGTTCTAGCTTCTTATTAGTTAAATCTTACATCTTAATTTCTATTAATCTGTGCATCACCACAAGGTCGTGGCCTACCAGCAAGGGTCGTAGTCTCACTCTGCCATACACTGTTTGGCCTCAGATGTTTTTTTACACACACTTGGTGTAAGTCTCCATTGTCGTAGAACTACGACCTTAAAAACAGCACCACGTAGCTGATTCAGTGTCTCCTCAATCTGGGGGTGAGAGGGTGGTAGAAAGGAGGTGATAGGAGTGAGAACATGGAAAAATGGGATAGTTAAGGGAGGAGAGGAATGAAGTGGGAGAGCAATGAAAGAGAGATCTGGATAAAGCCACTATGGGGTTAGAAAGAAACCTGGTGCTAGGGAAATTCCCAAAATCCACGACAATGACCCCAAATAAGAGTCCTATCAATAGTGGGGTGGGTGCCTGAACTGAAATTCCCCTCTAATCAGATTGATGAATATCACAACTAACATCATAGAGCCTTCACCCAGCAACCAACAGAACAAGGTGCAGAGATCCACAACCAACCACCAGGCCAAGCTCCAGAATTCCCATTGAAGAGAGGGAGGAGGTAATACATGTGCAAGAGAGGGAAAGATCATGAGGGAGTGTTGGGAGCTGTGAACACCCAGATTCTGAAACAACTTGTTTTCCCCTGATCTGAGTGCCTACAGCTGCTCTGAGCAGGAGACCTCAGGAGTTCCTGATTGCAGGAGAAGTGGTTTCTGGTGGGTTTGGCTGGGGCGTGGCTATCTCTACATAAGCTGCCCCCCCACACACAATAAAGGGGGCATTCTTGCATCAAGGATGACCTGTCTCTCTCTGTCTGTGCGTCTTTGTGTGTTTCAATCTCCAGCCCCTTGCCCAGTTCACAAAGTGTATGGTGGTGCCTAGAGCACAGACAGGTGTGGTACACCACAAGGGAGAATCTACACAGACAGCTGAACCAAGCTCACAGGAACTCACGAACCCTAGACTGACAACTGTGGAAACTACATGGGGTCGGACTAGGTCCTCAATATGTGGGAGACAGTGGTGAAACTTGCACTATCTGCTTATTGGAGCCCATTCCCTAGGGTGGCAGGCCATGCTCGGCCTTAATGTGGGGGATGGGGGTTGGTCCTGCCACAACTTAATGTGTCAGACTTTGTTGACTTCACATGGGAGCCCTTACCCATTGAGAGAAGTGGATGGGGTGGGCTGGAGGAGTGGGGCGGGAGAACCGTGGATGAAAAGTAAAATAAAAAGAGAAAGTGGTGCCTGTGCCCACCCGGGTGCAAGCATTTCCCATGGGTAACCTAGTCTCAGGTACCTACTCATGGGAGTGCTTCCAGGCTGCTCTGCATGCCTGTTTTTGCTCACGTGAGCCATGTTTGTCATGAGTGTCGTGTGCGTCACGTGCTTTATGTTTGTCATGTATGTCGTGCGTGTTGTGTTTGTGACGTTTGTGTGTCATGTGCGTATTTGTCATGTGTGTCATGGACCAGTCCGGTCTGGTCTGGTCCGGACCGGTCCAGTCCAGGTGGACAAGGGTTTGCAAGTGGGAACGTGGCTGACCCCAAAGAAGCTATGCTAGAAGGTCGGCACCCAGCATGGGGAAGGCTTCCCTTAACTACATAGACGGAGCCTCTTTCCCATAGTCTTCCAATATGACCATATACACCGCCCCTTTCTGAAACCCACGCAGCTAGGGCAGAATTCGTACAACTGGCTGGGAGCAATGGCTAGAGACTCGGGGAAGGATCCAGTGACCCTCTCTGCCCCTCCTTGTTAGAGGGGATGCCAATAGTCAACAGCCCTATGTGATTATCTTTGGCAAGCAGCCCATTGGTGGCCCAGGCAGAAGTAAACTTTGGTTTGCTGTTGGGATCAGATCCTTAGCATGAGAGGTTGAGGCTGGGTGGGAGGAGTGAGTCATGGCTTCTGAGCTGGGACGTGAGAAATGGCCAGGGAGTAACAATCAGATGAGTGTGGGAATCACATGGTGTTTCTGTTGCTTCCTGGCTTTGTGCCTGCATCATTGATGACCTCTCATGGCTCACCACATCAGTTCTGTAAGTGATTGCAACCTTGTATTTATCAGAATGCTCGGGATCCAAATTGTTTGTTTGACAGAAGCCCTCCAATGGTTATATGAATTTTGTGATGTCATGTGCATGACATCTGGGGCTCTATGCAGCCTGTGCCACACCTGTTAGAAACAGGTAGAGGAGCACAGGACATACACAAATAACAGGTGAACATTATAATAGTGAAGAAAGGAAGAGCCGCTTTAGATCTGAATAAAAGATGAGAAGTAGCAGCAGGTGTTTTTTAAAACGCTGTGTGTTCAATCAAGTCGCCCAGGCTCCTCTCTTGTTTATAAGTTAATCTTTTCAAAATTCAAAATAGAGCAACCACATAAAAGCAAAGTGATGAACGCACAACTTGCTGACATCTAAAATTATATCCCTGCCTCTTCGTGCCTGCTCTACAAACATTTCAACTGCCTCACCGTGTCTGAATGTGGAAATTGTTGGTAGTTCCAGTGTGTTCATAGTCGTGGATGGCAGCCGAGAAGATTATTGCAAAGATCTCCAGTTCCGTCAGCCAGTTCTGCAAGGGAGATTCACAGCAATCAGGTAATTGTCTCTCGCTCGCACAGCTTGAGCGTGCTGACAACAAACTCACCCTGCTACCTTCCACCCTACAGCTGCTGGCTGTTCCCAAAAAAGTTTTTTATACATAGAAGTAATGGGGGCTTTTCCTCATTGAGGAGACTGTGAGCTTGTAGTTTGACCACAACACCCAAGGTTGGAAGAACTATTACTCTGATCCAACGTTCCAGAAAGACAGCAACAGTGAATGAAGAACTTAAAATGTCCTCATCAAATAGCCCTCCCACTTCAAAATAAAATTCTTGTCTCTCTTTCCTTTCCTTTTCCTGTCCTTCCCCCTCCCCTGGGAAAAATTCAATGCAATACCCTCTCTCATTTATAAAGAAGTAATTAAAAGTTTTAACACAATATCAAGTGTGGGAGCCAGCCATGATAAGCTAAGTCTGGGCAGGTCACCCAAAGGAAGTTCTTTACTTCTAAACATTATCACCTGCCAGAGTAGGATTCAGCCATCGTTAAATTTAACAAGAGGCCTGGGGCTCAGTAGTTTACCCTGAAGCAGTGCCTGGTTGCAGGAAGAACCCCAAGATTACCTGAGCACCACCCAAAAACAGACCATCTAAAGGAAATGCCTAACATTCCAACCGCTGTAGATAGGACCACCTGCCAGAACATACTCACCAAGACACCCCTAGACAAATGTCAGCCAATCGGGTGGGTCCTAAACCTCAGAAGCCCCTCAACCCCACCTTTAGTATTATGAAAATCCAATTCTAACAGAGCATACAAGTGTCTTGCCTACATGTGTGTCTGTGTGCTACATGTATGTACTGCCCACAGAAATAAGGAGCCACCAGATCCCCTGGAACTGGAGTAACAGAGATTGTGAGCTATCATATGATTGCTGGGATTTGAATGTAGATCCTCTGGAAGAGCAGCTTGTGCTCTTAACCACTTTTTGTTTGTTTGTTTGTTGTTTTGTTTTTCGAGACAGGGTTTCTCTGTAACTTTGGGGCCTGTCCTAGAGCTAACTCTTATAGACCAGGCTGGCCTCGAACTCACAAAGATCCACCTGCCTCTGCCTCCCAATTAAAGATTAAAGCTGTGCACCACCACCACCTGGCTGTCTTTTTTTAAATGTAGAAACCCACATACCGTTCACATGTTCATAAAGGAACTAGCTGTGTAGCTGCTATCCCCACAGAATGAGAAAATGAGACCAGAGGAAACTCAGGATCCACCAAGGTCACACAGTTGTTCATATGAGAAGCCATATAATATATTTTCCAGAATTCTCACCTATCATCTGTAGATTAAATTTCCTTTGTTTATATTCTATATTTATTTAATTTTGGATAAACTTATGTATGTGTAAAATTATATGACATCTCTTCTTGATATTCTTCACATATATAACACCTATTCTTCCTCTTCTTTTGAAAAAGGGTCTTATAGAACATGCTAGCTCAAAATTCAGTATGTAGTCCAGTCTGAACCTGATCTCACAGAAATCCTCTTTTTCTTAGCCTCCTGAGTGCTAGAATTACAGACTTGCACCTCTGCACGTAGCCATATTGGTGTGTTTCTTCCTTAATATGATATTATTATTAAGCTGCTTTTGAACAATTCCCTGTATACAAGTCTTGTTCTAGTCCTATACAAAGTCAATATCATGTTTTAAAATAAGATGGTAGATAGGAGTTAGCATAGAGCCTAAACAACCAAAGTCACAAAACATCAGGAGTCTAAGCCTCAGAAAGCCTGCAAAGGAATAGTTCCCACATTACAAATATCAGGCACATTTCCTTCCTGCCCATACACACTAACAGCTACTCTTAGTTATCACCTAGCTTCTAATAAACTTAAACAGCAAGGGATCAAACCGGCATATAGCAAAATCTAAACTGTACCTTTGAAGCTCATTGTAAAACCCAGTCCTTGAGATGATCAGTGTGCATATGGGCTTAGGGATGAGAAGGGAGAAAATGATATCCGGGGAAGGAAACAGGAGGGGCAAAAAACAGTTTCACAAAAACAAGCCTTGCTGATGGTGACAAGGAGACCTTGGAGTAGAGGAGGGCATTTTCAGAAGCGCCTGTCCATCTTGAGCAATGGAATGAGTCCCTGGACTGCAGTGGGGATCAGGGCAGACCGGGACCTCAAATATCAGGCCTTGAAAGCCAGAGTGAGAGGAATGTAAACCGACTCAACTGGCAGTGGTGTTTACACCCCGGAGAGTCTGGAGCCAGCCCAGCACTCCAGGAAGAATATTTGTCCGAATAGAGAGAGGGAGGGAAAGTCCTTACAGTGCATGTAAATAACTGAATGTGTGGCAGACATGGATAAAAAGAAGTTATAGCCAAGAGAACAACGGACTACATATGGCCTCCGAACACAGAGTCAAGAGCCAAACACTTCCTGGGTCGTATCAGATAGGAAAGTTGGATAAGGCAGAAGAAGCCACTCTGAGGAAAACTGAGATTCATATTTTAACGGGGCTCAAATTCATTTGTATTTTCCCACTTAATTACTGTGAGTGCTAAGGTTTTGTGTCAGAATATAAGCAATCAGAAATTTAAGTTCCGCAGGCATTTTGCTGTAGGATTATCTGACGGTGACATTTCCCTGTCTTTCAAATTGGTGTATCACGGCTTCATTCACTGACAGACTGCTTTGACACCCGGATGTGGTAGATTTTGGAGTACTATACCTGTGGCTCAGAAAAGCAAGCCATATGCTTAGGTGTGTGGGTGAATGAGGGCAACTGTATACAACAGAGGAAATCTGAAGGAAATGGACAAGGGTGGGTCATTTTCCACTGCGCCAGGATACATTACTCTATGTAAGCTGTGACATTGCTGTGGGAACAGCAGTTTCTATTTTTACAATACTGTTCTGATGCCTTCAGAAATCACCACAAAAAGATGGTTGAAGAACATCATATGCACACACACACACACACACACACACACACACACACACACACAGAAAGAAGGGGTGAGCCATGAGAAGACAAATGAGTAGATAAAGTGTCATACAAACATAAAGACCCAAGTTCCATTCCTAGCACCCATGTGAAAAGTCAGGTATGGTGGCTGTGATGTGGGATTTCCCTCTGTATGCTGTGAATATGTTTTATTGTCATTGGTTAATAAAGAAGCTGCTTTGGCCTACGGCAGAGCAGAATAGAGCTAGGCAGGAAGTCCAAAGATTCAGAGAAAAAGAAGGCAAGGTCAGGGAGATGTCTGTAGTTGATGAAGGAGAAAGACGCCAGAACCTGCTGGATACTATGGGCCCGTAGACTGAAGATAGATGTTCCAATGTGACAGAAGAGCTTCGAGGAACTGTCCAAGCAGCAAGATGTCTCTGTCAATTCTAGAACTTTAGAAGTTGCTTAAAATGAACATCCTATTTACTTAGGTAATATTATATCCTTCTGGGGTCTTTGGTGGAGTTTAAGATAGAGTTTTACTTAGTTATAATAAAAGATAAAGTAGATATAAAACTTTAGATTGACAAATTTTATAACTGTAATTGTTGCTTGATTCTTATTTTGTTATTTGTAAATTTACTATGTTAAAGTTAAAACCTTTCTTTTAATTCAGACAGAAAAGGGAAATGATGTGGGATTCCCCTCTATATGCTGTGAATATGTTTTATTACTATTGGTTAATAACGAATCTGCTTTTCCCTATGGTAGGGCAGAATATAGTTAAGCAGAAAGTCCAAATAAAGATACAGAGAAAAAGAAGGCAGAGTCAGGGAGATGCCATGTAACTGCCAATGGAGAAAGATGCCAGAACCTTAGCAATAGGCCACAGCCTCATGGTGATATATAGATTAGTAGAAATGGGTTAATTTAAGATGTAAGAACTAGCTAGAAATATGCCTGAGCCATTGGCCACACAGTGTTGTAATTAATATAGATTTTTGTGTGAATATTTGGGTCTGGACAGCTGGAAACAAATGCTCAGTTTCCGTTTATACGGCTGTGATCCCAAGGCTAGAGAGATAGAAACATGCAGGTCCCCGGGGTTCACTCGCCAGCCAATTTAGCCTAATTGGTAAGCTCTAGGCAACTAAGAAATTCTCTCTTAAAGACAAGGTAGAGGAGTCCAATGAAGGACACATGAGGCTGTCTTCAGTCCTTCACATGTTCATACACATACATGCACCTGCACACACACACACACACACACACACACACACACACACACACACCTGTGCATATGTGCACAGGCTACAAATAACTGAGCACAGTCTGTCATTGGCTGTTATACCGTTGAGTCCAAGGATAACTTGCATTAGCATAAATTCTTCAGAGAGTTTCTTTTGCGTTGATGAAGCTGCTTGATTCAGGTTTATATTGCACAGGATACTGTGCACAACAGGCACTAAAACCATCTTGACCAGATGAGCTCAGAGCACTATTCAGCCTCTGCTTTAATTTGCTCTACATTATTATGTTCAAGTATACACCCCTGAGGATTCTGAGGTCCAAGGGGTTCTGTTTCACCAAAGATAATGTAGAATGATAGCCAAATACCTAAATGTATGGCCATTGGCGTCACACCTGGGGAACTAGAGAGATTGGCTCCCTGATTAAGAATACTTGCTACCTTTGTAGATGACCAGGTTCAGTTCTTAGCACCCACATGGCAATTCACAGTTCTTTGCTACTCTGGTTCCCAGGAATCCAAAGCCCTCTTCTAAAGTTCATGGGCACTAGGCATGTATAGGTGTGAATATGAACACAACATTCATATGCATAAATTTATCTTAAAAATGAATATTAGAAAACATAAAAGAAATTAGATCTGGGGCCAGCTTTGCTATGCCACTGTAATATTTTGCTATGGTCACCATAACAAATTACCATAAAAACTCATTTTGTAGGGGTAGGATCAGTTCCCCACACTGAAAACCACTGATTTACAGAAAATCGTAATCCATTGCACATTTGTACAGACAAAGTATATTTGTATAGACATTTAAGAA